CGAAATTGCAAAAAGTACAAGAGCGCATTACGAGCGAGATGCGCTCTGTTGATTCTCTTGATTTCCTACAACATGCTCCGCCCGTTGAAAGGACCCTTTCAAAACGTTTAATCGATAGGGAGTGGTGCAATTTTGTGGATAGGCCGCCGAAGCACACCCTGGTTAGTGCGAATATCTACTACGCGAATTCTTCCATCTTTACCTGTTATAGTTTCCACAATCCTGCCCAGTTGCCAGTGTTGTGGAGGAAGATTGTCATTGTGAATAATTACCAAACGACCAACAGTGATATTAGCTTCAGGTTTAAGCCATTTAGATCTAAGCTGCAAAGTGTGTAAATAGTCACGCCGCCACATTTCCCAAAATTGCTGTTTTAAATACGTAACACGTTGCCAACGAGATAAATATGATATGTTGCTTATTGTATAATTCCTTTCAGGAATTGTAATTAACGAAGAGCCTATTAATAAGTGTGCAGGCGTTAAAGCCTCACCATCGTTCGGATCGTCTGATAATGGAATTATTGGCCGGGAATTTAAAATCGCTTCAGCTTCAATAATCACGGTTTGTAATTCTTCGTAAGTTAGGCTAGATTGTGCCAAATTTTTTAATAATAATGTTTTGAGAGATTTCACCGACGCCTCCCAAAGTCCACCAAAATGAGGTGCTCTTGGCGGAATGAACTTAAACTCAAATCCAGTATTGTTGCTGTACTCTTGCATTTCTCTAAGCCCTTGCTGACTGAAAAATTGTTCTTTAAATTTATTTAGTAGTGTCTGCGCGCCAGTGAAATTTGTTGCATTGTCACAATAAATGCGCTGCGGCAGTCCACGACGTGATATGAATCTTTTTAGGCCTAGAATGAAATTATTAGTGGATAAATCTGATATTAATTCAGTGTGAACTGCTTTTGATGAAAAGCAGACAAAAATTGCAATATAAGTTTTATATGGAACTTTACTACGAATACGATATGTGGTATAAAATGGTCCACATAAATCAACTCCTGATATTAGAAATGGTCGGTTTGCAACTAATCGATCAGCTGGCAGCGAACCCATGATTTGTTGTAACAGCTTCGGTTTATAGTGGAAACAGTGAACGCAGTTACGCACTACCTTTCGAGCTACTTCCCGAGCATTAATTATCCATACTTGAGAGCGTATTAGACTAATTAAAACCTTAGGACCAACGTGCATGTGTTTACGATGTAAGTATTCCACAAAAATTTGAGCAAACCGATGATCACGTGGCAATAAAGCTGGAAATTTTGCATCAAAGCCTATTGGTGCATTGGTCAATCGTCCTCCTACTCGAATTATATTAAATGTTCCGCTTGTAGTGACCGTTTTATCCAAAAAGAGGTTTAGTTTTTGCAAGTCTGGATTCAAGATTTTACCCGATTGAAGTGATAATATTACACTGCGATATGTACAATGTTGAAGGTGGGATATAATACGCCAAAATGATTCTTGAAATTCACGCACTGTAATTGGACTCACGTCGTTTACGGTTTGATTTTTGTTTATTGGTACTTTGTTAAAGACTCGAAAGATATATGATATAATTCGAACAATACGACGAAATGAGGAAAAATCGTCAATAATTTTATTGAATATATGTTCATCGATACCATTGTTGCTACATTTCAAGACTGTAGGTTTTCGTTGTTCAAGGTCCTTTGCGAGAAATTCAGTTTTTGATGTTTCTTTTGGCCATTCTGCTGATTGAAGCGACAAAAACTTTGGTCCACAAAACCAAATCGAATCCTTCAGCTCGCTTGCTCGACAGCCTCGAGATACTATATCAGCTGGGTTTTGCTTACTTGGGACGTGACTCCACATAATGCCACGCGAATAGTCCTGCAGTTCAGAAACACGGTTAGCTACAAAACAATTTAAAGTTGACGAATGCATCTTCATCCAATGTAACACAATTTTAGAATCTGTCCAAAAAAAGATTTCATTAATAAATGGTAATACTTTGGGTTTTATTTTGTTCCAAGTTTTACAAAGAAGTACGGCAGCGCATAATTCTAAACGAGGCAGCGATACTGCTTTTATCGGCGCCACCTTTGATTTCGATATCAACAACGAAGATTTGTAAAAGCCATTATGCTTTGACCGAATATATATACAACATCCGAATGCTCGTTGAGAAGCATCGGCAAATCCGTGTACCTGACTGTAGCAAGCTGATGATGTTAAAACATATCTTGGCACTTCAATGTGGTTAAGATATTCCAAATCAGATTGAATTTGTATCCATGATTGGTTTAGAAGTGGAGGCAATGGATCATCCCAACCCAGTTGATGAATCCATAATTCCTGTATTAAGATTTTACACCGTATAACAATAGGACTCAATAGTCCTAAAAGATCAAAAATTCGAGCAACAACTGATAAAATAGTACGTTTGGTCGCAGCCTTTGACTCTTGTTGCTTATATTGAAAGCAAAAAACGTCATCTAATGGCCTCCACGCCAAACCGAGAGTTTTGGTAATATCATCTTCGTTTAAAAGAATTTGGTGTTCGTCACTTGAGTTTACCCAATTTTTGTGGTTGGAGCTCCATTTTGCCAATTGTAATCCTGCATTTGCTGCTATTTTATTCACTTGTGATACTTTGATGCAAAGCTCTTCAACTGTGTCTGCTCCCGTTAGCAAGTCATCAACATACAAGTCATTGCTCAAAACTGAAGCTCCAATTGGCATCTCCTTTTGATACGCATTTGCAAGGTAAGTCAGGCTTCTGATGGCCAGAAATGGTGCTGCTGACATTCCGTAAGTTACTGTGTTGAGCTGAAAAAGTTGCAGAGGTTCATTAACAGTATTTCTCCAAATAACTAATTGAAAATTACGATCTCTTGGATCAACTACAAACTGTCGATACATTTTTGATATATCCGCAGTCAGTGCATAGCGATGTAAACGAAATGTCAATAATGTCAAAATAAGATCCTGCTGAATTGTAGGTCCCACCATTAAGATTTCATTAAGTGATCGACCCGATGATGTGCGTGCAGATGCATCAAATACGACGCGCAATTTTGTTATGGTACTTTGAGGCCGCAATATGCAATGATGAGGTATTATATAGTGCGGTGTGATATTGTCAAAGTTGTCGACACGACTCATATGACCTAACATCAAATATTCTTGCATGAACTTAACATAATCCTCTTTGAGAGTCTGCTGACGCTCTAATCGACGCTCAAGTGAAAGGAATCTTCGTTTCGCCATTTCAAATGATTCACCTAAGACTTCTGGGGACTCTTTAAATGGTAATCGAACTTGTATTTGACCATTGCTTATAATTGTGGTATTTTCTACAAAATGTTTCTCACAATCCAACTCCTCCTTAGAGTAATTAATTTTTTGATCGCTTTCTAATTCTTCAATTTTCCAAAATTTTTGTAACATTGAATCTATATTAGACGACTGAATGTAGTTACAAATGAGTGCCCGGACAGTAGGCGTATTTATATATTGTCCTCCGATGATCCACCCTAATTCGGTATTTAATAAACATGGAAGGCTGGTGCCTAACGAAATTTTCCCATCTAATATTAATTCAAAAAATCCCTGCGTACTTATTAATAAGTCAATGTGTTGTGGTTTAAAAAATAATGGATCAGCTAAAACAAGGCCTTCAGGAAAATTCCACGATGTTGTGTCTATCAACTGCTCTGGATGGTTCAATGAGATACGTTTAGTGACAGCGAATTGCGATGACCATTCAAATTTTGATATTCGAGATTTTATAGTTGCAGTTATTGAATGGCGAATTTGTGTTCTAACATCACCAATGCCTGACACTTCCTGGTTTATTCGCTCAAATGGTAATTGAAGTTGCTTTGCCATCTTTTCAGTGATAAAACTTATCTCTGAACAAGAGTCCAGTAATGCTCGTATAGGTTGGTATAAACCGTATTTATCCTTAATAAGTACTACAGCTGTGGGAATCAATGATCGTTGTTTAGTACGCGATACTAGAGAAATTGATGGAGATTGCGGAAAATTTAGTTGTCCAGGTGGATTGTCTGACAAATTTGGTCTCACATTTTGCTCGATGGGTTTGAATTTATGCAAACACGTATGATGCATACCATTGCATATTCGACAGCGAGCTGTGGATTGACAATTTTTAACGACGTGCCCTTTGCGTAGACAATTTAAGCAAACAGAAAGATCTTTTACGAATTTGAATTTGTCGTTAAAAGTCAGTTTTACAAACGATGGACATGATCCTAGGCTGTGGTCTCCTCCATTACACTTCATACAATTGATTTTGGTGTTAACAAATGTGGTCAATTTTCTGTTAAAAGAATTATTTTTGGTATCATTTACTTTATCATTATTGCATCTTTTCGAATTGCTTTCCAGAAATTGACATCTTCGACTCAAAAGTGTGTAGCAACTTTCCCAAGATGGCAATGACTCAAAATCTTGCTGAGAATCATAAAAAATTTTAGTTTCGTTATCCACTTTAGACAATACTAAATGAATAATTATGGCGTTCAGAATGTCTGCTTCCGAACCCAACGATAGAAGTGAACCGAATAAAGCAGACACTGTATCTACAATATGCCTGAGTGTGATTGAGTCGCCCTTCGTCATATCTTTAATAAAAAAAAGGGAATTAATATGTTCCATAAAAATTAAGACCTTTTTGTCATATCTCAATTGTAATTGCGTTAGAGCCTTTGTATAATTTTCCTCGGTTATTTGAAATGGTTGTACTACGCTCAACGCCGCACCCGAAAGACAACTTAAAAGATAATTAAATTTATCAATTGTTGTTATCGACGGGTCGTTGTGAATTAAATTTGTAAACGCAGAGAAAAAACGTTTATATTCGCTGTATTTACCATCAAATCTTGGCAATTTCAATGCTGGTAAACGACTATGATGTGAGGAGTTGTTTAATATCGACGAATTCAATACACTTGATTCATGTATCGGCCTTATTTTTTGATTGTTGATTGTGGCCACAATAAGTGATTTTATGCTGACATATATGTCCTCTAATTTGCTACGCCTATCATCATCCGGACATGCTCGTTCAATTTTACTTTGTATTTGACAAACTTCTGTAAAATACGATTCCAAAATTTGCAGTCGACATTCTAAAATGTTAACATCCACAAACGCTAATTCCTTCTCTACCTTCGCCTTTATGCTTAGCATGTTTCGTTCCACTGATGTTCGCTCTTGTTTTAGTGAAGAGAGTTGCTCAGTTACTGAGTCATTTCTTCGACGAGTCATTATTGCAAGTAAAACAATAAGTATAATTAATTTCCAAAAGAGTGTGATAATATGCACGCAATTGAGTCGAGTGTGTTTAAAACCCGCTGAATACGAATTTCACTCAAATGCACATGTGCTTGGGTACAAAGTCCGAATAGCGAACTGTTCAAAGTACCGCTTTTTCAACCAAATAAACCATTAAGACAGCTCTCGATGCCGCCTGTCCTGTCACGGTCGCCAAAAAATGTTGGAGTATAGTTTGTTTATTTTGTATGATAATTTTTACAATTTTAATTATATTCAATTATATTCAATAATTTTTATTATATTCAAAAATTTTATTACACAAGCTAATAACAATTTATAGTTTACAAGACATTATTTATATTATACAATTCTGAAAAAGTTAATCTAAATTATTTTGTATCTTTACTATAATTTATATGACTTTGTTGGAGGTGGTGGGTCGCACAGCACAATTTTATTATTTATTAAACGATTATTAATAACTAATTTCCAACAAAACCACCGATTGGCCATCCGACCATGCTGCGATCTTAAACGCGACTACTCTCAAAGCGAAATTGCAAAAAGTACAAGAGCGCATTACGTGCGAGATGCGCTTTTTTGATTCTCTTGATTTCCTACAACAATTATTATTATTATTATTATTATTATTATTATTATTTTTATTATTATTATTATTATTATTATTATTATTATTAT